GCATTCTCCTTCTCTAGGTTGCTATCACAGTGCAGACCTGACTGCCTGAATATGCTCAGGAGATTTAGTCAATATTGTCTGTATTTGGTTATGGAGCTCTCCTTTTTTTTTTTTTTTTTTTTTAAATCCAAAGTGCATAGTGAGAACAAATCAAAGTATTTTTTTTTTCCTTCTCAGCATCAGTTTCATCTGAGCATCTTCCCATGAGAGGGCTGCTCAGATGCCTCGCCTTTGTCCTCTCCACCCTCCAAAAATTAAAAAAATAAAATAAAATAAAAAATAGTAAGAGTCAAGCAATTTAGACATTCATCAGCCTGGTAAACAAACTTTGCCAGCAAATAGAAGTCCTACTATTGTAAAGAAAATTGATAAGACAAAAAGTACATATGATGACCCAACTACTGTGTTGTTGGGTAATTTATAAGGTTGACCTCCGACTTCATTGATGTAAAATCCTATTGGAAATATTAGGGCAGCCATACAGAAAAGGATCACTGTAAAACAAACCAAAACACAACATTAGTAACACGGTTTGGTGATCTGAAAAACAATGAAAATTTGGCACAAAGGAAGCTTATAAGAAGGGTTGGCCAAACCTGTTAAAACATGGGCCACTTGTTAAAAATTTGTATATATTACAGGTCACATAGTATCCCTGAAGCCTAACAATACATTAAAAGCTAGGTTAGCCTTTTATGTAAGTTTTAGGACCATTCTGAATATTAGGATTAAGAAAGTCCTTCTCCAAACCTAACAAATCCTCACAAATATGATTCCTAGCCATTTACAATAGTAATTAAGGGCACTAGCTAGAGTCAGATAGGCGGTCAATTCCAGCTCCACTGCCTACTAGCGGTGTAATCTTAAGCCTCCGGTTCCCTTCTGAAAATGGGGGAAATACTAGAAGGCTAAATAAAATAATGTCTAGTCCCTGACACAGTGCCAGGTAATAGTAAGTGCTGAATGAGTGCTGCATACCATTATCACCATAGTTACTATTTTGACAATTCTCTGTTCCTCTCCGTGTTAGGCAGAAGGAATTGGAGAAAGGTATATATAAATAAGCACCACTTATCTTACTCTGATTTAAAATCAGCTAGTAGAGGCCGGGCATGGTGGTTCATATCTGTAATCCCAGCACTTTGGGAGGCTGAGGCGGGTGGATCACCTGAGATTATGAGTTTGAGACCAGCCTGGCCAACATGGTGAAACTCCATCTCTACTAATAATACAAAAATTAGGCGTAGAGGTGCAGGCCTGTAATCCCAGCTATTCAGGAGGCTGAGGCAGGAGAATCATTTGAACCTGGGTGGTAGAGGTTGCAGTGAGCTGAGATTGCGCCACTGTACTCCAGCCTGGGTGACAGAGTGAGACTCTGTCTCAATACAAAAATAAATAAATTAAAATAAAATAAAACCAGCTAGTAGAAAGAACCTCAGATCTCTGGGATGACTAGCAAATTATCAGAGTGGTTATCTCTTATCATGGATAATATTCCAAAAAACAAAGAAGATAGGTAACCTTCTTTGAGTTTTGCATGTAAACACAAAGGAGTATATTATTTGTTAAAATGTTTCAAAAAGGATATCAGAAAACCCAGTGTCCGCGTAAAAGTGATTCCACAGTCCAGTGTTTGAGCAAATGGCCTGCTCCCTTGTGCTACCAAAGAAATGGTCTTCTTAGTGAACACAAACTATTTACAGATAGGCTAGCTTTTCAAAGAAAATATTTTTGCTTTTTGAAAGCATATTGCTCAAATGTTCATTGTCCTTCAACTTTTTCTGGCAGAAATACTTCTTCAGTGTAACGTGAGGACAGATTACTAGTCACTGTACATGAAGAGTTGAAGCTTTCATTATTAACTGAATGAGTTTTCACCTCCAGGTGAAAACTATCCCCCAGAAATACTAACAGAGCCCTGGATAAACATTTCAGCTGACACTCGTCTCTACATTTTTTTGTGTGTTAACCAATCAAAACTTTCCGAGTTTTAAAAAAGTCAATTAGGAACCCTTTCCAGAAGGAATAACTCCAGCAATACAATGAAAAATAGTATTTGCTTAAGTAATACATCAGCTTAAGAAACAACAGCACTCTTACTTGCACCATTTAGGTAGATTATTTTATGTTATACAGACATATAACATATACAGACATACAGCTTATTTTGGGCAAATGACCACATCAAATAATATTGCATAAGCAAACTTGAATTTTTTTAGATGCCTACTATAGAACAAATGAAAAATTCAGGCATTACATTTTAAAGTTTTTAGCCTTTTTGTTGCATAGTCAGCAACAAACAACTATTAGTGCTGCCAATGTCCACTTATCAGTGTGGTCTGTCACCAGTTTCTAATGGTTCTACGGCTTAATATAGTCTGGTGAGTAAAATTAAACCACAATTTAGGTAACTATATGCAATCTAATTAAAAAAACAATAGGGCAAAATTATTGTAAAACAATTTTTTTCTTAATGTTGACTAATCTCAAGAAACAAGTAATTTAGAAAAGTACTTTAGGAATATGCAGATGTTAAATTTGTTTATTGTGTTAACATGCCAACTTTGTTCCTATCATTTCCTATTTTCTACTATAAAAAAGATCTATCCTTTATAATGGAGTAATCATTTTGCAACTATAGAATTGAACAGTTTCAATAGTTAAATATTTTCCAAATTTGTTAGAAAAGGCTTAATTACATTTTAAGGGAACAACGAAGTCCTGTTTAGTTTTAAACCAAAGGAAGCAGGCTCTCTATACTTCCTGCGAGCAGATTTAATGCAGGTGGATGAGTTTTTCTTTTAAGCTACTGTGAACTATTAAGTTACTTTAGATCTTAAAATATTATTAATGCTGATAATATCAACCTTTGAAGGCTGAGCTTTGGATCCTAAATAAGCTTGTAAAGACACAATTTTTATATCCTCCATGGCACAGATTTTTTGGTGGCGAGAGTCAGAAATCAGGTGCACTGTTAGATGAGGTTGGAAATGAGGGTGGCAAAGGAAAGAGCAAAGGCCAGACTTGAAGAACAGGATGACTCATCTTGGTTTCTCTTGCCCCCATAGGGAACCCCCATCATGTGGGGGCTCTTCTCTGAGACATATTTCTTCTCTGAGACATATTTCTCCACTGTGCACGGCCATCAGAAGATATCAACCTCATGTTATTACGAAAACTATAGCTTAACTGGAATAGAAATACATACAATAAAGTACATTTTTCAGGGGCGGAGTGGAAACACTAGGGGATGCCCAATTCCTCTCAGAACTGCCACCCCAGCCACTGGTTCTGGTACCAAAAACAATGTATTTAAGGAAGCTAAAAGCAAGGCAGCTCTATGCTTGCTTAAATGAAATTAACTCAAAGATATATTAAGTTTAAAAACCAAGATACAGAATAGTAGAAAAAATTTTATATAAATATGTATGTATGAAACACACACATATAGATATGTTTCTATGCATTGAATACCTCTAGTAGGAAACCCCAGAAACTGGTAAAAATGGTTGCCTCCAGGAAAGGGGTTAATGGGATGGCTGGGTGACAGGGCCAAATATGATTTCACATGGTTACCCTTTCACAGATTTTGAATTATGCATCATATGCACGTATTATTTCAAAAAGTTAAATTATTTAAAAAATAAAGGAAAAAATACATTGCATTTGGGGGCAACTATATATACTTAAATATTCTCTGTTTAAGGGGAATGGAAAACAAAGATAATCCTAGTTCTTTCCCTTCACTGGGTCATAAGAATTTATAGCTCATGAGAGCATTTAACATTTCGACTCACACTACCTTGCTAAATCATATTTTAGGTTTTTGGTATTCAAGGCGTATGCATTCCCAAATTTCAACTAAATCCAGAAACTAAATCCTTCTTTGATATTATTTTACTTCTTGAAGAGTGATTTCTATCTGGATTAGCGAATCTGTGAGTAAAAGATAAAGAAGCAGATTCTCTTTAAATTTCTCATCAATATCCTTAACTTTAGCGGCACTGTTTCTATGATTGCTTCTGGACCCTCTCTCCAGAAAAGAATTGTCACAGGAGGTCTGTTTGACAGGGAAAAGGTCACCAACTTGTTTCACTCTGCTTAACAAGGATGAAGAACCTTTTTTATATCAAAGGCAACTTGATCTAAATTTAAAAATTAAGGGCAATATAGATAAACAGAGCCAGAAACATACACATTCAAGAGTATAAATTTCAGAGAATACAGGAAGAAACAGAGGCTCATGAAGGAATATCACTCTCCTGCAGCCTTTAAGGATAAACTGAGTTTTAACATTAATAGGGATACATGGGATTATCCCTTACCCCAATTATACACGTTCTAAACGAAAATATCAAGTCAGCTGTTATATTTATTTTTAAAAATGTATGCAAACCTGAGATTATTTTAAGGCACTGAATTAAAAGTCTCATTTGCATAGGTACTGTTCTCCTGTTTCTTTAGAGCAGGATTTCTAAACAGTGGCTCTACTGCTACTTGGGACCAGATAATTCTTTGTTGTGGGGGGCTGTCCTATGTATTTGTAGGATGTTTAGCAGCCTCCCTGCCTCTACCCACCAGCATTCCCCTAGTTGTGACTATCAAAAATGTTTTCAGATATTGTTAAATATCCCCTGGGGTGCAAAACTGCTTTGGAGAGAGAGAAGCACAAAAGCAGAATTGCAAAAATGTCTTTTCTTTGTGCATTTTTGTTTCTTCTGTTTAACTTGAGATAAGTCTCTGATGTGTTGTGAAATTAAACCAGTTTTGCAAAGTACAAGAGAATGTGTAATATATAAACTTATACCCTTGGGCAGAGCTAAATGGAGTAAGAAATGTTGATAAACAATTATTAAATAACAAAATGTGTTGATTTTTCAATGGTTACAACATACAGCAGAAACTCAAAATCAATATTAAAAAAATACTGCCACCTTCATCTAATTTATATTTTTATGTATTTGTTCTATATTTATCTTTATTTTGATAGATGATACCAATAGCTTCAAGAAAAGGAAAAGACTCAGGCTACCGGTAACTCTGAGTCACAAACCTGGATTACTTATGTCACAATCTGAGCAAAAATAAAATTCATTAAAATAGCATTTCCCACAAAGCGATTAAAGTTGTGGATGTCCTGGTCTCGCAGAAAGAGTTTTGAAGAAATGATGGGACTGTGTAGAGTCTATCTCACGGCCATACACAAGTGGTGCTCTTTGATGGTTATGAAGTCCTTATTACTGATTCTTGATTATCTTCATAAAAATACCAGTGTGGGTGGGTGCCTTCTAGACAAATTTAGTAAGCACAGGTTACTTACTTCCAGTGAATGCTATCCATCGAGCATATTTTGTAGCTTCTCTTCGCCAGTGGGAAGCCACCAGCAAACCACATGTGACAGTCAATGAAATGATTCCCAAGATGATAAAAAACAGTGTGGTGACCCACTCCGGGGGAAGCCGGGGAGGGATGCACGTCCGGTCTCGTCCATGGATTGTTTGACACTGTCGCACGAGGCCCACAGTGAGTGCTCCTGGGGAGATGCAAATGGTGGGAATACTTTAGTGGGTTTGGCCTGCCCAGGGAATATTCCTCACCACCACCCCTTTAGTTTTTAAATCTCATTTATCTCTTTGTGGGTCATTCAAGCACTTAAATCCCAAGTCCTACTCTTCAGTATTCTGCTGTAGTTCATAACGTAGTAATACTTAAACATACAAAGTGAACTTAAACAACAAATGACCTCAGAAAAGTCATAACAGGCAGTTCACTCAGGCACTCATTAAATAAATACTTTTCTGAGTAACTGTGTCAGGTATTTTTCTAGGCTCCAGGGAAATAACAGCAGACAGGGTGAGGTTCCTGCCCTCACTGAGCCTGCATGCTGGCAGAAAGGACTGGTATTTTTTGATTCCTAGATCTAAGACTCATTGTATATTACTTCATTTTGGCTGAAAAGAAAATCACTTTTCAGGAAATTGAAGACAAACCTGAAATATGCCTAATTGTAATATAGAAATAAAATTAAATAATAGATTAAATGTTAGAAGCAATATATTTATGAAAGGTATAAGGTCTAAGAATATTACGATATAAGTAGTTTTCCATTAAACTCAATAAAATGTTGGAAAGACTAGGCGGGCCCTCTGACCCAAACTTGGTATATTCACCAATTTTTGTAGAGTTTACCAGTGTTCACACTGCCAAACGATGGCTGGCATGCTTCACAGAAAATCACAAAGGCAAATTACGAAGGTAATTCTTAAAGTGTCTCTCCCCATTTAAATAAAAGTGATTTTTATAAAACATCAAGCACTATTTTTCCATAAACATGTTCTCATGTCAAACCCAAGGACCCTCCTCCAATCAAATTTGGAGTAATTTATAAAAACTTAGATGAGAAAGGTGACAGAGTAGTTATTTTATCTTCTTCCCCAATAAGAAGAAGAATGTTTACAATGGTACTTCTCAATAAAAACTACTTGTTTCCCCTTCCAAGAGCAACAGCAAATGGGAAAAGTTACCAAAAATATAGGAATGGAAATTTCTGGAGCTATTAAAAACATAATAGATTTTTGCATTTTGGGGGGATTTTTTGGGTCTACATTCCTTTCTTTTATTTATAGAGATGGGGTCTGTGTTGCCCAAGCTGGTCTACAACTCCTGGCCTCAAGCAATCCTCCCGCCTTGGCCTTCCAATGTGCTGAGATTACAGGTGTGAGCCACTGTGCCTGGCCTGCATTATTTTCTCAATATGAACACACACAAAAAAAAGACATTGACCTCGAAATCATAGCACTTGCCATGAACAAATGTCTTCTGTGAAGGGAACTGGTGAAATTCCTAGTGGCATTTTGGGAAGCTGCCCTGGTGGGAAAAGACAGAGCACGGCTGGACTTGCGTGTGCACGTGCATGTGTGGCTAGGTGGGTATGCCGGAAGGAGGGTACTTTTCTGTAACTTGAGTTTGGCCATTGATACATTTTTAGAAATAAAGCAACTTGTTGAAATAAAATGAAACAAGAAATCAGTTCTTCTCTCAAAGTTGAGTTGGAGTCCTCCATCAAATGCTAACTCTTAAGTAGAGAAGAAAATAAACAAGCTGTATTTTTTCTCCCAAGTCATCTAATAACTAGACCCATCTGGTGATCCCTGCCCAGGTGCAAGCAACATTATAATTATGGGGTTGTCACAGGCAGGAGGAAGGCAGACCAGACAGAAAGTATGCAAATCTTCACAAAAATGCCACACACTATGCCACATACCACCTTCTACTTGGAGCTGACTGACTTCATAGGCCAAAGAGAAGTAAATCAGTAAAAAAAAAAAATTGTCACATTATTTATTGCTAACCTTTTAAGTTTCACGGTAATTGCTTGAAACCAGAAGAGAGGATTTGGTAGGGGTAAGTAGGCACCAGGGAATTGCATGACTGTTCTTAAACAAAAACACTAAAAAGTCTCCTCGAAAAAAACAAAAAACAAAACAACAACAACAAACAAAAAAACTTGAGGGAGTGTCTTATAAGGCATTTCATTGTAATTTTGGAAATAAAGAAGGCATTCACAGCAGTGCTCAAGAACTCTTAACAGGAAACTACTCCTGATCATTCAGCAAAAGACCTCTAACAAATCATCCTCTTCTAGTCACTGTTCCATTTATAAAAGATGTAACTGCTAGCAATGAAAGACCCTCTGACAAAATGCAATATTATGAATTCTTATATTAGCAACTTTCTTCTCCATGTAACATACACAGTCTGTACAGTTATAAAGGTAACTACATACCTAGTGAACTTAGATTTACATTTGATTATTTTTTGCTGGCAAATATTAAAAATTGTAGGTTCAGTACATCATAACTGAACTCTCTCTCCTTCTAGATACTTGAGTATCCTCATGTTGACTCTCTTACTCTCTCAGCGTTAGAAATGAAATTTAACTTAACCTCCTGTGCCTATAGATTGAGTGGAATTGCTTTTCTCCTCCTCCTCTCTCTAGCACACCACACCAAATGACTACAAACAGAATAAGTATGAAAATTACAACACCACCTTCTACAAAACTGCAAATAATCTGACCGTGGTTTAGCTTTAAAAGAATAGCTATAGTCTTATATTTATAAAATTCCTTATCACATAAATCAAAACCAAATAGCATCTCTATTCTAGAAGAAAAAAAGCTAATGCTAATCGATGAACAGAAGGCATACTGTATATAAGAATATCAATACACAAATATTTTACTGTGTGTCTCTCGTGCTCAGCATCGTAGCAGTCAGAGATTCAACTAATATGCTCACACATTCAGTAAAAATAGACTTTCCTTAAATATACAAGGGTTAATGCAAACAGTGGTCAGTCAACATTGTTAAAGTTCATTTTCTTGAGTGAGACTCTAAGTCAACAACATTTATATCATAGTCATATATTTTCCGTAAGCTGACTGGGGGAATCTGCGAGGCTAACTGTGCTGTTACTATTAAATCTTATAAATTCAGGTACTGTTAGTACCCAAACTTTCACCAAGCCTTCAAATTTAATATTTTACCTCAAGGAATTATCTCTTTGAGCTTCAGACTCATTACCCACATTAACAGTCAAGATCTTTTACTTCCTCTAAATTCCCTTAACACATTTAGTCTGTATCATACAACCATGCACTTATTTTAAGGTAGCTTCTTTTTATCCCCAAACAGGACATGAGCTTCTCAGAGAAGGGAACTGCACCCACCTTCCACTCCACTGGAAACCCCAAAATGGCCGCAGCAGTGGAATTCATAAGCATTAAGTGAATTTAAATGTATTAAAAACAAGCTAAATTTTAAATCGCACTGCATTAAATAAGTTCTCTCCTGTAGAGCTATCTTAGTATGGTTTCTGCACACTTATTAAGTACAAGCTCAGCCATTCACGAATTTTTGTTTTATCCAACAGGTCTTCTTGCCTCTTGAAGGGGCCTGTAATTCCATTCCCCAAACAGCCAATTCATCTGTACCCTGCAGCTGTTTCCTAGGTAACTAACCCAGCCAAATAAAAGACTTGTTCACAATAGGAAAAAGGAAACGGAACTAGAAACTACAGCATCCCACATGCCTCTCAGCATCTCACCTGTGCAGCATAACACACAAAAGGAAAGTCATCCTGAGTCTTACTCCATTAAGTGGGGGAATCTTAAGAAGCTTCGACACTCATCATCTGTAAATCCAGACACTGTTAAAATGATTTAATACAGCCAGTCTGAGCATGTCTGTTGCCACAATGAGGATGATTATAAGGCATGTCATCACTACATGTAAAAAGTGTCACAGAAAATCTGTAACACAGGGGTTGGAAGGCAGAAAGGCGCACACCCACCAGTCTGTCAGAGCAAATCATGTAGAGTGCTTGCCAACGTGGCCAGAGAGAGGGTTTTCCCATACAGGGTTGGATTTGAGCAAAAAAATAGCAAAGTTAACATTAGCTACTGTCTTCTTCCATCTCCCTGTTACGTTTTCCTCCTACTGACAATGCTTTCCTCCTCTCAAGGGGCTCTCCCTGTCATCTCTAGGTACTATGATCTGGAGTGCCCAATCCCTACCACGGATGTGGATCTCTTGCTCTACTTCCTCCTTGGGGAAATAAAATCTGTTCTTGGCAAGCTGTTTCACTGGTAACACAGGCCAAAAAATACTCTATCACAAATGTCTTAATGATTGATAAAAGCTTAACATACTGCCTTTCCCAAGAGCATTTGTATTTGAGCGAGGGGAAGTATCCCAATTGAACTGAAATTACAGTTTCATGTTTTAGCAATGGGCTGGCTGAAGAGATTTAGAACTGGATGGCACGTGAAGATGGAAGGGGAACAGGAAGCGGGGAGACCCCGATGTACGCAGCCCTGTGCACCTCCTTGGGTAAGTCAGACCCTGGCAGCTTGCCCTCTAAATGAGTAGAACAAAAACAAAACAGCCTACGGGTAACTTAAAAACGTCACACAAACTGGCCGGGCGCGGTGGCTCACGCCTGCAATCCCAGCACCTTCGGAGGCCGAAGCAGGCAGATCACGAGGTCAGGAGATCGAGACCATCCTGGCTAACACGATGAAACCCCATCTCTACTAAAAATACAAAAAATTAGCCAGGCGTCGTGGTGGGCGCCTATAGTCCCAGCTACTCGGGAGGCTGAGGCAAGAGAATGGGGTGAACCCGGGAGGCGGAGCTTGCAGTGAGCCAAGATCGTGCCACTGCACTCCAGCCTGGGCAACAGAGCGAGACTCTATCTCAAAAAAAAAAAAAAAAAAAAGTCACACACCTAATATTTTCCTCTGGAAACATAGCTAGCGGTGACGATTTTTATCTGCTATGATTTCTAAATTGTATTTTAGGATATAGGTGCTTATAAATAGCAAACTGGCCAAAAAGAAAAAAAAAAAAAAGAGTGAACAGGTAGAACAAAGAACTTTAATGAGCCACACATGGACAGTGTCTGAAAACCTGAGTAGCACACTAGGCTGAGGCTGAGCCCTACTCTCCACTGGAGTAACAGCACCCCCTC